TACGGGGTTTTTTATCATCCCTCAGTTGGTTGTCTCAGTAGGCCACTCTCCCTCCGGCTATTGCGTCGGGATCATGGCAGCATGCCGAATTCCCTTTTCTCACACACATCACTGTCACTGTGTTGCACGGTATCTCCATCAGTCAATTGAAAACATGTTGTTCGTTGTCCATAATGGTCTCGGTTTGTATCGCTTCTCTCACCTGTAGTGGTTTACTCCTCCGTATGTTGTCTCTGGCGTTGTCTCTTGCAACGATTCTTTCAGAACTTCCTGGAATCCCCATTCCGTCAGCTGGCTCGCTATACATTGCGCCGTGGCACCTTGCCCGATATGCAAATCCATCTTTTGCATCTCCCTCGCCAGTTGTGCAGTGTCTGCTTCCTGGTCAGGCTGTCTTCCTTCCCAGAACTGCCTTGTCTCCTCATCTTCTTTCATCCACATTGTTAGATATGCAAGCTGATCGAGTTTGAGCTGCGCTTGTTTCCCATCAAGTTGGGTTTTTGATCCAATTACCTTCCACTTATTCGGCATCTGGGGCTCTGCCGGTCTGGTTATTTTGCGCCAAGCTTCAGAGGGTTGCGCTGGTTGTTGCCGTGGTTCTGCTCCTGCCGCCTGTTCCTGCTTTTCCTCTTCCATTTCTTCCGTGGTACTTCCGTCGCCAATCGGCGACTCATCTCTCGGTAGCAGGGGAGTTAGCGGTTGGCTCTGCTGCATCCTCGGCTGGTCTTTCTCCTCTGTCGACCCTGCAGTGTCTAACCTTTCTTGGTTCTCCTTCGGGTTGTTGGGCTCTTCCTTGAATTCTTTTGTCCCTTGCCTTTCCTTAATGTCTTTCCCAGTCTCGCTGAGCCGCTCGAGTCTGGCTTTCTCTAGTCTGGCCACCGCCACCTCATCAATTTTGCTTTCATCCACTCTGGCGCTGGCTGGAGGCGGCACCCTCCTCTTTTCTTCCTTTCTTGCAGTTTCCTGCGTATGCTTTTGCTTTGTATTCCCACTCTGGGCGTACTTGATGTCGCGGTTCTCCTCGCTGGTGTGCGTCTCGGCAGTCTCCCTCTTTGCTTGTTTTTGACCTGTTGTCCTTCCCAGAATTTCGTCCACCATGTTTGGAGACTCCTCTTGTTCCGTTGTTGTTGGCTGCGTCCCAATTTCCTTTCCTTTCCCAGTTGTAGTCGCTGGCGGGGCAGGCTTTTTCTCTTCTTTCTGTGGCTCTGGCTGTCTGGGCATTTGCTCTTGCTGGCCTCTTTCCGCTTCGTCGTGATTCTCCTCGGCAGGGAGCTTGTCGTGCTGCTCGAGCTGCTGGGTGACTGCTCGGCTCTCCGTCGAAGGGGTCTCGGCCTCTCCCTTGCTGCCTCTATCTCCTGCTCAGCATTTTGTCTTTGCAGCGCCAATTCCAGAAGTAGGCGGTGGTGTCCTTTTCTTCCTCCGCGTGCAGCTCTCTTCATTTGTTCCACTGTGGCCCCTGCCACGTAGCGCGCACATTCCTTTTGGTAGGTGTGGCTGCCTTCGGTTCCCAGTGCGCACACCAGGCAAACTCCTTCCCCTCTGCTGTTGGGTCTCGAACTGGACGATGACGGTCTTTCCAGTGGCTGTTCGTCTGTATCCTCTGACTTTGCTTCCTTTCCGGTTCCCACTAAACTTTCTCTCTCTCTCTCTCTCTTCTTCTACTTCTTTTTCTTAAGGTGTTAGGGAGCCCTACGGCTCCCCCGGGGCACCGCCCCGCACCCGCGCACGAGTCTCAGTGTCTCTCTTTCTTGCTTGCTTGCTTGCTTGCTCTGCTTAACTTCCCGCAGAGGAAGGAGGCCGGGGCATTGCCCCAAGCAGGTGCTGTCTCGGTCCTCCACCATATCAGGCCCCGACTACTGACCGTACTCGAGTCTCTCTTTCTTTCTTTCTTTCTTTCGTTCGGGCTTCTCACCTCCGGGCTTCGATGCCCAGCCCGTGTTGGGCAGACTTGGATTGTACCCCTCATGTTCTCAGAGTTAGGGCTGTTGTTTTGGGGAACCACCAGTATTTTCACTAAACATCACTCTGCCCCTTCTCTGAAAATTACCCGTAAGCCGTCTCCTTGCGGGGTGAGAATTTGCCACAAATGCCTCCCCTACTGTGTGTTCTTTACCCGAGGACTAGTTGAACAAAAGGTTGATTGGGTGAGGCAAGGGCTTGCTTAAACTGCCATGTCAGTTGGTATCACTGCAGGCTGGACAGTGAGTTGCCCCCTCCAGCTTTTGCGCTTGTCTAGAAACCTCCTGGTTAGCGACCTAGAAACCTCCTGGTTAGCGACAATCCCATTCCCTTTGGCCCACATTGTTTTTTGGGGGACTCTCTACATGCCCTATCTTGTGTGCCCGTCTTTGTTTGGCAAACCAAGGTCATCATCTCTCTCTCTCTCTTTCTCTGTCTCCTTCTTGCCTTCATGCGAGCAATGGAGCAGGGCGCTGGGGCCCACTCCTGGGATTCTCTGCCATGCCTGTGCTGGGCCTTGCCTAAATGGTCCCCACCACAAAGACCACTTCGCTACGCCCCACACCCGCGCACAAGTCCAAGATCTCAGTCGGTACGAACGAGGCCCGGGATACCGCGAATAAGGTACACCCACACTCTACTCCCAAGCACCATGAAACACTAGGACTCTCTCTCTCTATATACTCAAGCCATTGAAGTCGACAGTCAACATACCGCCTCCCCATCGAGCCAGTCACCTTCACCCAGCACATCCATGACAACCTCAGCTCGTTGCATATACTACACTCAACTGCATTTTTGGCCGTGCCCGGAGAGCCAGTCAGACTGAGATGCTTGCAGCTTCGGTCCGCGCGAGGTGGCCGGGATCTCTGTAGATCAACAGCTTGTGGGCCGAGCATCCCGGGCAAAGGTAGTCCTGAAAACGAACGGTTCTAGGAGTCAGCCTGTTGCTGGACGTTGCTCTGCTTTGAACATGTCGCCCGGTTGCGACCAAGAGACATTGATGCTGTTCAGCACAACCTGCAACATTCGCCAGGGCAAAATTCGCCCAGTACCCAGTATCCAAAAGCTTGGAGACTGCTTTAAAAACACCAGACGCAGTGACGCAGCTGCAAGATGCTGCAAGTACATTGAATCTGCTTGCGTCTGTCGAATGCACTCAGCACTGGGGCCGCCGCCAAGGGCACCATGACTGAGAAAATGATTGAGGACCTAGCCAAATACTGTTCTTCGAACACAAGTCCAAGTCATATCCGAATAGCAGCTGCTTTACGTTACTCTGTCAGTTCAACTGGCCCGTGATATGTGCAATACAGTTGATTTTGGTCTGCATGTCGGAATCGTAGGTGGAACCTTTGTACAGCATCTGCCTACAATCAACTCATCAGTTCTCCTCCTTCGCCTCATAGCGAACTTTTAGCGTCACGGTCGTTGTCAGATTCTGATAAGTCAAAGGGAAGTCCATGGTAAGCACGCCTTCGGTCCCACTGGCTTGACGCAGCAGCATCTTGAGACCTTGACCGTGGCCCGAGTTGGTCTCTGCCAAAACGCTGCAGCTCGAGAAGAAGTGGCGACGTTTGGATGCCTTCGGGGAACACAGTGTCAAATGAGCCTCGAGGTCAGCCAAGTCGTCTTTCCGGTCCAAAGACACCACTTCTGGCGCGTGCTTCTTCATGTCCTTGGGCTTGAACTTCACTGCAGCGACATAGCTATGCCTTCCTTGTCTCAGCTCCTCCAACTTCTCCGAGGTCGTGGGCCCCTTGTAGAACTGGAGCTTCATTTTGTCCACTATGGACCGCAATTCAGCATTCTCGAAGTCAGCGGCCTCGACGGACAGGTCCAATCCACAAGCACATTGCATTGACGATGGAGTCGGCTGCATCTTTGAGTCGATACACCATGCTGTTGACTTGCCCAACACCAAGCATGATCGCTGGCATTCGAAGGTCTGCTCGCCGCCGTCTAAAACTAGTTGCCTGTTGCGGCCGAAGCGCTTCCAAATTTCCTCTCCATAGTCACCGCCAAGAAGTTCCTCCGAAGCCGGCCGCTGGGCGGCGATCCAAAGCTTGTCAGGAATTTGCGTTGGGCAAGAGCGAATGCAGCTTGGAAAAGGCTCTTTGGCATTCGCGTTTACCAAGGTGCCACCCCTGCACTGGAGGTCGGGTGATCCCACAAGCATGAATCCATCGCGGCCTCAGCCCAGAATCTTTTTTTGATCAATGCGTGGGGCTATGCGTATGAAAGTGAAGGTGATCCGTGACCCAGACAGCACAAGCAAGTATAAGCTGAAGAGGAAGCGGGATGCCAGGTCTGCCGGCTTCCAGGCAATTTCACAAGTACAATGACACGACGACCTAGTCAACCTAGCTGAACGTGATCGAAACCAGATCTGCGAAATGCAGGATGACGTCGGGCGGGTAGCAATGACTTCAAAACGATGAGTCTACAGCAAGGCCGTTCCGAGCTCGTGCGAACTTTCCGGAAGTCTTGTGAAAATCCACACGTTCAGAAGTATGACTTGGGCAACCCAGAGCATTCTGGCAACACCCGATTTATAGCCGATGAAGTCAAATCTCCATATAAGCATTCAATCTGTCCCATGGACTTGTCAGGGGCGCTTCTAATGTTGCATTGGCTTTTGTGACCGTTGTTGGGAAGACCTTGTTTACTGTGTTTTGGTTTTGGGGCAGGCACTTTGGGGGGGTCCCGGAGGCCTCACAGAAGCCTTCCAGGAGCCTCCGAAGGAGTTGTTACTTTTCTGGACCCCCTATTTTTTTTTGGGGGGGGGTGTCTATACACTAAACCCAGCGCAGCATTACACCCAAACCCAGTCCTTCATCTAGCCCGTTCCGGCAGGCTCGGCAGTACTTCAAATCCCAGTGGCACAGCACAAAAACGATGTCAGCCCAAAAGCAATCCCTGGCACGACATGCCGCAACGCAATAATCCTAACGAGTGCTTGCTAATATGCAAGACATCCTTAATGTTGGAGGCTTGCTTGAAGAGTCCCAGGCCGACACAGTTGCTAATAAGCAGCCGGCAACATGAGAGGCTTGCTGGCAAATCCCAGCAGGATCAGCAGGTCACCCTGCTTCAGACCGTATTCGCTGAAGCGGAAATCCACTTTGGCGTTGCGAGATTCATGGCAAGCCCCAGCACCTGCTAAAATGGAGCCTTCCGAAACAAATCCCGACTTAACACGAGACGACGCGACGCAAAGCAAGGACCAGGTGTTGGTGCCAGCTGGGGTTTCTGCATGTCGCGGAAGCTCACCAAAACCATGCGACATTCTGCGACACGTGATATCAGGACAACTCCAGCCCAGCCGGGATGATTCAAATCGGGTGCTTGCATGCTGCTCCTCCTAAGATGCGGCATACTTCTGTTGGATTCTGGTGTCTTAACTCCCTTCGCACCACGGGATCTGTGATATTTCTATTCAGGCGACACAACCTGCACAAATGAATCGAAAATCAGTGGTGGTCTGGGCTTGCGGCATGATGGACGAACTGCGGCTCCATCCACGACAGGTAGACCTACCAACCGAAGAGTATGCAGGGACATGGTTGAATCTCCAGGAAAGCAACGTGCCGCGCCTAAATCAAGATACTCGGGATTTTGGACAAACTCGTTGAACTCAAAGTCTCTGCAAACTTTCTGGCATCGCAACTTCTCAACGTCGGGTATCGCATCGACCGGCAGGATAGTGCCATCCTCTTGGCACTTCAGGGTGACGAATTCATGGATCTGACCCTTTGCATCCACCAAAGCCTCACCTTCTCCACATCGCACGAATGTGAGCTCCCCCGTTCGGAAGGTGGGAACACCAGCCTTGTCACATTGCTCAACGGTGACACCTGGCTCCACTTTTGGGCAGCCGCATGTCGCGTAGCCCAACTGAAGCGTGGCTGCCACGGGCATGTGATCAGAGCCGTTCTCGGTATCCTTGGCCCCCGGATAATCCATCCATCCCTCGCTGTCCATCAGGGAAAGCGTCAATCTTGGCTTGCTGCTCGTTGTTCTGAAGCAGAAGCGGTCCAGCCAACCCAGCTGAACATCATCTTTTTTCGTTGCCCAGGTCAGGTTCCCGTCCTTCTTGTTCGTCTTCATGTAGCAAGTCCTTGTCAGATTCATGATGTCGTCCATCTTGCAGTAGTTCCCGGACGCGCTGCAGTTGGTGAGCTTTTGGCCAAGAAGCGCGCACTCCTCTCCCGCGTAGCGCTTGTAGGTGGGAAGGTACTCAGCATGGGGCTGGTTGCACTGGAAGCCGAAGCCAGCATTGTCCTCCACTGGCTTGACCAAAGCATCCGCATATTCGCTCTCAGGCGCTAGCGGATCGTTGGCAGCAAGCTTGCGGCGCCCGGCAGGTGAGAAAATCCTTCTCTCCAAGGAACCGTCTGTCAAGTTAAGCTCTCCTTGCTCTAGGCGATAGTTGAGATCACCCAGCACCACGACAGCATCTGGAGGTTCCTGTAGGCCATCAAGTGTCGGAAGTGTACAGGTCTCTAAGTCTCGATCAAACAGACTGCAAGGCTGTCCAACTCCTCCGGTATCAGTGAGTACCTCGCCCCTCAACTGCTTGCTGAGCTTGCCCTGGTAAGTTCGCACCTTCGACAACATGTAGGTGATCCCAGCTAAGCGGGACTTTGCCGACTCGCTGTCCAGGTGGACGCACAGGAAGTCGACGCGGGTGGCTGGTCGTGCCACAGATCCCGGAAAAGTGATGGCGATGGACACTCCACCTTTGCCTTTGTAGTCGGTAGCCATGACTTGGGTCTGGATCTTGAAGACTTCATGTGTGGTTCCATCGAAACCCTCGAACTTGATGGACTCTTCAGACCCCACATCGCTTGACCAAGGTGTCACAGAGATCAACTTCGACTCATTGCCGATGAGCTTTCCATCAAGCGGCCGGCGTGCAAAGACCGAGGCTATCTGAGCATTGATGCCTCCTCCTGCAGCACCCCAGTGCTCTCCCCGGGCCACTTGCATCCACTCTGCTGGCATCCATTTGCCTATGTGCTTTGATGCCTCCGTCTGGCAGCTCACAATGAAGTCAGCTTCGGTGAGGGAAAGTCTCTTGGCTTCCTGTTGCAAGTGTGCCTTGCCTGAGTTCCAGGTCCACAGCTGCACATTCAGCATTTGCGAGTCTTGCCAGTCGGCCCTGCGCTCACTATAGGCACGCAGTCGGTGAGCATAGCCCTGAGCTAATGCTCCCAAGAGGAGCGTCCACCGGCCAAGCATTTTGCAAACAAAAGGTCCTAAGGAAGCATAAGGCTTGATGCTGTTGAGCCAACACAGCCTCGTCCAGTCAGGTGGAGGGAGGCCTCTCATTCCATGTGCAGCTCAAGTCATGACAAGGCGAAGCACCGTCTGAGTTCAAAGCACCATAATGTCCCGCGACATGCGGTGAGCACGAACCCAGAGCCTCAGGAAATAGTCTTGCTACGGTTTGACTCTGGCAGATGAGCATCATCTGAACCCCCTCTGCATGCCCAAGTCGCTGCAGGGGAAGGCCGCAACAGCCAAGGATGTTGCAGCAGCGAGACCTTGACTAAGGACTCTTACAGTGTTTGTGCCATGTCACATGTCGCAAGTTCCGGGAGTGGACATGACTCTCACTGCTGCAGCGTTGACAGCAGCATGACAGTATCTAGAGCGGCCCCAGGCACTGATTCTCAGAGCAAAACACGGGCACGGAACCAAGCCTTGTAATTCCCAATCGGCAACCCCCTTGGCATACCTAATGTCAGCCCAGACGCCTCAGCATGCCCTCACCTTGGCTGGTCTCTCAAATTTCAAGTTGCTGGTGCTTGGTCCAGTCTCCGTTGGAGTACTTCTCTGTCATCTGAACTCTAACAATTACTTGGGATGCCCCAGAGTTTGAGGCACGGGTCTTACGGCCAAGGTTTTCCCTAGCTTTGCAGATACTGTGCGGGTTTTCTGCAAGCTTCTGCTACATGCAAGACGGATTTTTCTGAAGCATGCCAGAAGTGCCTGTACGAGTCTCCCTGGCAAGTGCCTGCATCCGCAATCAGCACGGAACGTGGCTTGAGTTTCTGAGTTGGACTTTCAGAAATTGTATGCTGGGCGAACATCATCAGCCACCCAAATAGATTTGGCCACAGAGCCTGCGTTACGCAAACGTCAGATTTTCGAAAGAAAAAACCAAGACAAGAGTGCAAGATTGACCTTCACGTAAGCCTTTCGAACTTGCGATCGCAGACTCTCAGGTGCTTAAATGTAATCTGGGGCCTTGAAGGATGAAATCCTTTTCTTTCTGGGCACATTGGCTGCAAATCTCTCTCTCTTTCTGGGATACTTGAAGCTGAAGAGGGCTCTAATAACCTGCAAGTTTGAGTACGCAACCATCATGACACAGCCAAGCGCAACAATTTGAACAAAGGCTTCCATGGGTAGGACCTGCACACGTCCATCACCCAGGCTTCCTGTCTGCTCATGTGCACCACAGACTCATCTCCGCCGCGTGGTCATCCCGACAGTATAGGGGAACTCATTCACAAACAGTGTCAACCTTTTGGAAGCCAAAGTCCACGACCGCTTCCACCTCCCCGATACTGTTCCAGTAGACCTTGACGAACTCCTCGTCTTCCTTGAGCTGAGCTTTCAGGTTTTCGACCTCTGAAGTCACAGTGTCGTGGTCTTGCTGGAGCCTGAGGTTTTCCCTTATGGCCATCGTCAGTTCCCCTTGCAGTCGTCTGTTCTCGGCTTCCAGAGTTCTGAGGCGCAGCATGGTCTCCACGGCTTCGCGACGCTTTGAGGTGATGTCCGCCTGCTTGGACTGCAAGGCATCCCTGAGGATGCTGACTGTGCCCTTCAGCTTCCTGACCACTTCGTTCGGCTTCTGCTGCTTCATGATTCCTTCCTTCTCTTCATCAACATTCTCTAGCTTCTCTGAAATCTGGTGAAGGGAGTTTTGAAGCGCGAAGATGCGATCCTTTGCCAGGGTTTCCCGGTGAGATTCCAGTTGAATTGTTTTCGTGTCCTGCATATCCTTCTCTGCTGCTTGCTGCAACTTCACCTCGAACTGGCTGATCGTTTCTTGCGCCGAGTCGTACTTCTTGGCTTCAACTACCAAGGAGCCTCGCGCTTCTTGGAGGCTTTGCCGGATTTCTTCCATTCTTTCCGAGTCCTTCTGGGCCTTGCTCTGTAAGTTCTCCAGACTCTCCTGAACCCTGGCAATCTGCAAGCGCATCGCCTGAATTTGCTCTTCGCTACTGACCACCTCGGTCTCCAAGGAGTCCTGGCCTTTCTTGGCCTCCATGATCTGGCTCTGGAGATCCTCTTCCTGGCTTCTGTAAGCCTGGCTTTGAAGCAGAAGCTCCAAATCTGACTTCAAGGCTTTCTCCTCAGCGGTCCAGGTCCGCTCCTCCTCTTCAGCTAGCTTTGCTGCAGCAATTTTCCCAGCATCCTGGGCCTCCCGGAAGGCGACATTGATCTCGGTCAGCTGACCCTCCAGGACTTTCACTTCCTCAGCTGAAGGTGGCGAGAAGCCCGGTACCTCCTGTGCATGCTCAGTGGGTGCTTCTCCAGCACTAGCGTTGGAGGACAGCTCCTGCACATACTCAGAATTCAGCTCCAAAGAAAGCAGCATTCCTTCATCATCCGGCTCCACCCGACGAGCATAGATGTCTGACACGAGCTCGTGCTCTGCAACATCATCGCCAGCCATGTGAAAGATCACCTGGCTCCAGTCAACTTTATCTAAGTGAATGTGTTTCGGCAGGATCTTCCGCAAGTTGCCACAGGTCATACTTATAGGAATGAGGAGCTTCTTCTCCAGCGCAGGCAGTCCTGGTGTCGCGGCCTGATTGATGAGCACTGGAACGCGATCAGGATGTATCTTGCGAATCCGTCTGGCTTTTTCAGCTGGGTCGTCTTTGCTGCTGGCTGTGGCAAGGGCTCTCAGCTCCTTCGGAACTGCTCCATCCATTTTGAAGTGTTGGGGTTCTCGCGGGTCATGCTCAAGCTGCGTCTCAATGGCTGCCTCAACCTTAAAGTACAGTGCATCATCAGGTGCCTTGTAAAGGGCGTCAAGGTCCTTCAACGTCGCCAGCTTTGGCACTTTCATGGTGCGACTGCACGTCCAGAGCAAGACTTCACTAGCTTCTGTGGCCCACTTGCACCTCTCGCGGGCTGTAGCAACGAATCCGGCTCCTGTTGTTTGACTGCGCATAAGCAGTTTCATCTGCTGGCTCGAATTGTTGGAACACATGCAAATTACAGGCACGCAGTCGGGGTAGCGTTTGCGCAGCTTCCGCATTTTGGTCACGGCCTCCATACCACGAAACGAACAGAACAGTGCTGTGCAAAGAAGGATTGACTTAGCCAGCCACTGCTTGACCCAGGTTGGCGGTGATAGGAGACGGATGCAAGCTTTCACCCTTGCTACTGTGCAGTGTTCTTGGTCGATATGCTACGCAGCTGTTGGTGAGAAATCTTGACAATGAAGGCATGCTACACCGCCTTCTGGTTTTGCTCTACAAGTGCATGCAGTGCTTTTGCATCCAGGCTGCCGAAGAAGACGAACATCACGAGCAAGCCCCATTTCAGAATGAATCCAGCAACAAATGCATTCCTTCCAAGGTTGGCTTATCAAAACATTTTGGTAAAGATGTTAAGAGCGGAGAGCTTCGCAATCAATGTGTTCCAGGAACCCTGGCCTCCATCCAATCACGATGAAGATATATATGGCATACACCTAGGGGCGGAGCGACGCCGACAGCATGTCGAAGAAGAAAAACGTTGAAGAGCCTATCCCGGATAGGCTCGGATAATCCGTGGACTCGAATTGATCCAGATGCGAAAGCGTCAGCCCCCTCATTCTTGCATCCTTACAAATTCAATGCAAGGTGCTGCTTCTGCCAGATCCAAGATGGATACGGTCCACGCTGAGAAGGTGAGCCTTCGCTTTGCAAGTCAAACAAGCGAGATTGCTTCCAGATGGCTGAGCGAAACAACGACAAAAAACGTAACCAGACATCATATCCGTTTCCAAGCAACGGTATGCCGAATTCACCTTCCATGTGCCAGCGTATCCACACCAAAGCACTGCACAAGTCAACAGTCTACTTATGCTGCTACCTGGCTTACTGCGTGCCAAGCCACAGCATTGTCGGGGTGGTGCCTGGCCATGTTCCCAAGTCAGCCAGTACAAGCAACCATTGCAAAGCTCAAGCTTTCCAGAGGGCTTTGGGAACTTGACCAGGCAAAGCTGCCAGGCAACCGGCCTCAACACCTGGCGTCGTGCCCGCTGGTGGGGCAGCACTGGCTGGCACTGGTGCCACATCTCGGTCCTGCCAGCTTGGCGGGTCAGCCTAAGAACAGTAAACAATTAGACTACTAGGCCTCGCTAAACCCCACCGGCAAATCTAACTTCGGATTGATAAACAAAGCAGGCATGCTACGTGAAAGTGTAAGATTTCAAGAATGGGATACAACATGATACGAAGAACGTGTAGACGGCACCTTCGATAGGTGGTTTCCCCACAAGTCCGGATTGCACGTCAGGGCAGGAACACGGTGCGCACACTTCAAAGCAACCATCCCCTTTGATGAGCCCACAGCTCTGAAGTTCACAATCAGGCATCAGACACCCCAGCTTGGGGCACTCCCCTACTTGAACCACCATAGCTTGCAAATAACCACGTTAACTCTTCTACATGCTCTGGCATCGCCTGCCTGTGCTGTCGCATGTGGTGCTTCCTCTTCCTGCGTAGCCACCAAGCGCAAGGCGACAGTAGACAACAGCTGCTTGTCTTTTTCATATTCCGATGAGGAATAAGTCGTGCTAGGATTTGAGGAGCAGCGCAAATGCCTGCTGTGAAGGGGAGATTGACCGTCACCCTCTGGCTTTACGAAGCGGAAGGCGCGTAGGACATAGGTACTCTTGGAAACTGTGGGCTGCCTCTTCCTCCTCTTCCGTGACAGCTGTTGACTCGCGTGTGCCTGCTTCGACGTCTCGTCTCGCCTGTTAACGTGTTAACGCCAAGACAAATGCGGCATGTGCTGCAATGACTGCAAGCAGTGGCATGCACCCTTCTGCACTGAGTCCCAGACATGCTTAGAGTCCTGGCAAGACTGTTTGCAACAAAGGTTGCTCTCGCCATGCAATCCAGTCCCGCTCCTCCACACTGCCGGACGACTTGCCGGAGCTAAATCTGAAGCTCTTCGCTTTCCTGACAAACTATGTGCCATCATCTCTTCCTATGTGGCACGCCTGCCGAAATGCTGGTGCTGCCGGCTGGCGAGCGCTTGGGTCTTAGCAGTCGACGCCGCAGAATTGATGAACAGCCGACGAACGTCTCAAAGAGCACGGCCAAGATGCAGTACCTTGGATCGGCTCTGGTGACTGCAAATGGGTTGGCGCATCTCAGCTTGGGAGGATTTGTGGTGCCGGCATGGTGATGCCAAGACACACAGAAGAGGCGCCGATCGGCGGCAGAAGCACTGCCTTAGCGTGCCGCAGGTGACTCAAGCTTGTGAGCTGAAGACAAAAGCTCTTCCTGAGACGAGAAACGCTGCTTAACGATGCTTAGTGGGCTTAGAGACAACAACAGGCAGCGGCTTCATGTAAACAGATCTACCCAACAGAAGTTGCCTGATCAATGCCGTGAAACGCTGCTCATCCAGTTGATGGGCTCTCAATTGGAAATCTCAAGCTCTCATCACCTTTTTTGGTCGACTTGTGCCCGGCAAGTTGCGGGGCCTATTCAAATTGCAAAGCAGGGTTACTCCGGAAAGAGGGTTCTCCTCACTTAGCGCATAGCACGGCAAAGGGCAAAGCTGGCATGTGACATCGCAGCATGAGTGCCTGTGGCGACCTCAAGGAGACTGTTAGCAAGAAAACAAGCCTGGATACAATGTGCAGCATATTGCCGGAGACGGCACCTGCAAGGTAAGACCCAAGAAGTCAGACTGCAGGCATGAAAATGCACAACTCATGTACGAGCTAGCAGCAGACACGTCGAGACTGGAGACGGTGGAAAATGACAGGATTGAACCGGCACAGCAAGAGCTGCGACAAGTGCGTGCCTGAGTAGGCCAGCATCAGGGCATCGATCTTCATGTTGATCATGGCATACCATGCAGCTAGAAAGAAGACGGCAACTACAAACCTCAGCTGTCACTGAAAACGGGCCCGACTGCCAGCGACTCAATCAAGTCTAGCGGCGTGATGTCCACCATGGACCGATGAAGTCCAGCGCTTCTCGGCTTCAGCTGAGTACGGTCATACCACTCCACCCAGTGGCGACCGCTTGCCTGCACAGTGAAGCAATGCTCAAGATAGGCACAAGTGACGTGTTCAAGGAGCAATCATGTGAGATTATCGAATAAACAAAATCAAAGCGAAAACATTACAAAATGTGGCAGCGGCAGTTGCGCTGCCACGCATTTTTGAACAGGCAAACGCAAGCCCCTTCCTCCAAGAAGAAGGCCACAAGACCACGGAAATCCTGGCAGGCAAAACCATGAGAGGCTCAGACTTGAACCCTTTTGTGGCGGTTGCTCTATTGTTCCTGACGAGTCCTATTTTGGGAATTAGAAGGTCTGATTTTTGCCCAGAGGTCTACCCGGGCGGACCATGCTCCCAGGGTTCCAGCAATGAGTCACGAAGGTACCGATGTACTATGCTGCCACTTTGTTTCCTGCCATCTTTTCCAAATATCCCGATGCACGGTGGCATTAACATGCTTCTTTACTCGTTTTACTACTCTTGGAGTTGAGTTCCACTACTCAAGAAAGAAAAGCTGAATTTGTATGTCTGCGGCTTTCACCTGCAGGAAGCTTGTTCGAAAGCAAGCCCCTGGCATGGCCCTTGGCTTGGCCTGTCATGGATAGTTATCGTAATGACCCCGAGAGGGTACGTGCACCTGCACCCATCCCACATTGTGTACAAGACTGGGGAAGGCAGCAAACAAAAACACAAGCCCTGTGCTAATAACTTGTCAAGTCATGATCCGCGGTGGGGTGATTTGACGCGTTGTTGAAAACCTTGCGGCAGGCAAAGCGAGCCGTTATATCGACAATTCATTCTGTGCAAGTCGCATGGGCGTGAGTTGCCTGTCGCAAGGCCACCATGCGGCAGGCTTTGCCTGCCCAGGCGGAATATCGAGCCCACGGGCCGTGTTGGCTGGCTACTCTCGTCGTCCTTCTGTACAATTACAAGCCCTGGTTTAAACACATTGTCCAAGCCTGCCTCCTCCAATGAGATAGCAAGCTTGGCAGGACGTTCATTTGCTACGAGTATGCAGCAATTGCTCTGCAATTGCTGCTCAAGGAAATCTGCGCGAAATTGCGCTAGAACTCTAAGGCCCCCAGGCTACGACTCGAGTTGCCTGGCTGCAAGCGAGCTCTTCAAGAAATGACCGCTGGATTCGTGACACTCCAACATATCCTTGGGAGCCGGGGTGCTCTTCGCGGGCATGATAGTACAGGAATATGTGCTCGGAATCAGATGAAGGCATTATGGTGTCGAAGGCAAGCATGTAGGCCATCTTCCACCCTGGCCGCTCCGTAGGGGTGAGGAAGTTCGCATCAAGCACACTCCAGGACATGCCATCTGTACTGGCCAGCAGTGCAATGCTGGAGCCGGTGACGCCGGTGACGGTTCTGGTGATGCGATTCTGCAGCGCTAGCAGCCTTCTCTGTGATTGGTCTCCTGAATTTGGTTCCCCTTCCAGTGTTTCGAAACCTTCAATCATCTTGAACGAGCCTGCACCAATAATCTGCGGATGGACATCCGAAGCTGTCCTGAAAAGCGGCGTCTGCGACAGTCTCTGGTAAGGCCCTTCGAGGGCTGGCGCTTCAGCAACACCGATGTACATGGGCTCGTCAAGCCCGGCGTCTGTCAGAAAAGTTACGGATGCGGAGTAGTACAACAACCAACGTTCTCTCTTTTCGTCGTGCACAGCGAAGGGGCTGCCAACACGCGACATCCCGACTTTCTCCCACTCCAGCTGAGGCTCCAGCACTTTCTGGGGCTTGCTCCAGCACCAGGCTGCTGACTCTTCGGGCACTGGCGCAGTTTTAAGGAAAATTTGTGCAGGGTGGAAGGTAAACTCCCCACGCTGCTCGTAAAAAAGGTGCGCTATGCCCTTCACAACTCGGACAAAGGGGCACACAGCCCCCGGCAAACCCACCGCCAGCTCGGTGATGGTCCAATTTGATAATCCATCGCGGGAGGAAAGGTGGACAATGCCGGAAGCACAGGGTAAGAAGAGGTGGAACTCGCCCGCGACCTCCAGGATGCTCGGATTGCCCGAGAGACGCTCCGCAGGTCGAAGCACAGGGTTCTGGAGGAAGTCCTGAACCTTTGTCGTCTGAAAAGCCTGCCAGTTCTTGGACTCCTCTGGCTCGAGTTCCAGTGATCTCAGGCACCTGATCTTTCGTGTGAGTGCTTCCAGCAGCTTGTCCTCGGAGAGAGTGCGTGCAGGCCAACGCGCTTTGAAATTTTCAGAGCCACAGGCAGAGCCCATGGATCAAAGCCCTTGCTAAGGCACTTTCCTAGCGCGCTACAGCCGCTACAACATGATATGAAAGCGGCTGCAGGACCAAGTACGACAATGTCTGCAAGGGAGTCACCACATGAACCGCGCAAATACCACGCCAACGCAATCGGCCTCTCGGAAGTGCTTCCACACAAACCTCTGCAAGACACCATGCTGCTGATTGGTTCTTGGCCCTTTCATCCAAGGTGCTGGTATGGGTTGAAGATGAAGGGTGCCTTTTCAGCTTGCCACATCGACTGCGCAGCCGGCAGATACATCTCATACATCCGGTGCGCGAGCGCTTCAGCAAAGGCTGCCAAGAGGCCCACAGCCAGGAGGCCACCGTAAGCCCGAGGCAGATGAAGATCCACCATACATCTCCAGCATACTCCCCGGCACCTATGGCAGGGACTTGACGTGAGACGCAAGCCGCACTTTGGCTAGGAGGCTTTCTGACCACTGCTGCTTGAAACCTGCCTGAAACACCGCCAGAGATCAAGATCAGCACCACTCCAGCCAGCAGTGTCACACCGTCCTGAGGGGTCATGGCTGCGGACCACGTAGGTGTGCTAGGCACAAGGCGACCCAGCAGCGTAGTAAGCTATGGCTGCATAGTCAAGGTAGAGCCCGCCCACCTTTTTCAATTGGAACCTTGGCTTGCCGCCCTTAGCTACGATTTCTCACGGAGCTCCTAGTGACCGGGTAAAAACATCAGTTTCTTTCTGTCTTATTGCATCTGGAGACTTACCAGGCAAGGCTTCGCCAATGAAGGGGCGACGATCAGTTGGCAGGCCTCTTCCTGTGTTGACGTATGTGGCCCCACCATAGCGGATCTCGTTGATGACCTTGCCCGTGCCAGGTGAGCTGGCAAACTTACTGGACATCAAGACTCAGAATGGGGCGTAATGGCCAATGATCTTGGCCTGGAAGATGAACATCAGCCTGTCGTGCTTACTTTGGCAGGTGACTTCACAGCGAAGGGAACGTCAGCTGAGTTGCGGTGACAGGGTAAACATCTGCTTCAAGAACCGCTCGAAGGCAACCTGCACAACAGCTTGCAGGGTCCACCTGCAAGTTTGAGCTCGAGGCCACGAGATTGCTGAGGCCTTGCAGTTGCGCTCCATCCACATCTCCGCCTCAACTTCGCACAGGTAATTGGCCCTTTGATGCTCTTTGCCACAAGCCCAGCTCTGCCGCTGAATGGCCAGCAAGGGGAGCGAAGTCGCAACCAGAAAAAGCAACAGCAGCCAGGAGAACCATACCTGGGGCGCAGGACAACGTGCACCTGACAGGCACAAGCCCCTCTAGGCACTCTAGGTATCAAGAACTTAGCTCAGAACTCCAACTGTTTTGGCCATCACTTCAGCTGACGACAGCGTATCCTGCCCATTCAGTTGGCAATTGCGGCGCTGGTGGCATGAGGCCATACCCTGCGCCTGGTTCAGGTTGAGGAAAGCCTCAAAAACGCCACCGCGCACCTGGCAGCTGAGGGCAGCCAAACCGCAAACCGTTCTTTATGCGGAGGCCTCATCTGCCAGCAGCACCTGACCGTTGGCTCTGATTTCACTGCTATTCCCTGTGCAAGCTCCGGAAGGTGATGGACGACCACAAATTAGGGCCGGAGCTAGCAGCCAGACAAAGACCAGCAGGGGCATGCTCCACGATACGAAGAGCTGCCTAAGGACCAAACAAACTTCTCAAGCGTTCAATGCCGAGCAGCGAGAACCACGGCTGGAGATGCCTCGCCTACTTTGCACAAAACATCTTGAAAGACTTGCCAATGCCAAGGCGCGTGAAGTAATAGCCCACGTGAGCCTGGGATGTGCTAAGCAGACTGTAGCAATCTCAGTCTAAATCCCAAGCTGACCAAATCTAAAGACCATGACGAGGATACAGCTTGGAATTCCAATGACATGTCTGCCACGTGCTTTTGTGAGATGGCTGACTGTTCGCTGGCAAGCAGCATAGTAGAAAGTCAGCGCCTGTGTCACGTGGTGTCATGTGAGCCATCCAAGATTAAGATTGGCTCAAAGGGCAAGGCCTCGGGAAGCTGTAGAACTTGACCAAGCCGAAAAGCTTGTCGCGTCAAGACCTGCTCGCCTCATCGAAACCAGAAGTCGGCTGCTTGTCTCGCCCTATGAACCTTTTGCAGGCTTCCTTGGGGCACCTCTCACTTTCAGGAACTGTCAATTGTGGATGCGTTGTCCTGGAAGCATTCTTGCTCTTCAAGCCGCCGGTTCCCGAGGACAGCTTGGAGAAGAAGCCCAAGACTGTGTTGAAACCCAGGTCCCGGCCCTGCCAATGACAAACTTAGCCTACCTGGTGGCCCAGCGGCCCTTGTCATGATGACCTGGCCTTCGCCAGGTGGAAATACTCCGAGTGCTTGATGGATCTCCCCTCACCGCGGAGCGTGAAATCCATACCTGACAGTAAGTTGGCTTGGATAGATGCCAAGGCGCGGATTCAGTCCAAGCTGTTGGGGGTGCACTTACCAGTACCGGTATTTCTCCAATCCAGCCCGGCATCGACTCAAAAAGCAACTGGCAACCCTGTGTGAGCATTGTAGGTCTCATGTTATTGCGCGCCTGCGAAGATGTCCTCGGACAGGTTCACTGTCTTCGTGGCTTTGGACACGCCACCCTGCTGCATCATGGCGAGCCTTGGCTGCTAATGCGACCTAGCTTTGGGAGATGCCTTCTAGCCGAGTTTAGCCAGGAGGCTTGTTCATAATATCTGGATGGCCGTAGTGCATTCGGGCACCCAGCACGGCCTTCAGCCAGTGCCAGCTTGCTGCATCGCGCTTACGCATGGCTTACTGATTTGGCCCCGCGGCATAGGTTCTCTGCAGGATTGTCCCGAAAGCAACTTCTGCTGAGGCCGCGAAGTCACCAATTGATCCAATATCACCTTCATACATGAGGTAAGGTGCTGTCATCCCTTGAGCTTGCCGCCGGAAGCAGTGAACTTGAGGCAGGCCATGCTTTCGCAGAGCTGATGTGCAGCCAGGAGACTGGTGATATGCTCTGGGAAGCCGACGATGCGCTTCGACATCCCATCGCCTCTCCGCCTTGAGCGGAATTCACCTCAGCTTTGCCGCAGCGGAAAGCAGGGTCATCTCCACTTCAAAGCTCAGACGAACTCAGATGTCTTATGCAGGCCAGGCATCCCAAGGCACAAGGTAACAGCATCATCTGCTCCTAAGCCCACCGCCCCTCTGAGCACTTCAGACTTCCGTGCTCACACTTTTCAGTTGCCCTGCATCCCGCAGCCCATCAGCTAGTCATACGCCAAGTGGAGTATGGCGAGCAAGGAGGGCAATTCATGAAGCAAGGCCAAACTTGTGTTGAAAAGACGACATGCATTCAGATGTTTAATTAGTTGGCAAAGGATTCAAACCGCAGCCATGGCTCGAAGTACGCACCCTGGTTTGCATCGATGCACTGGGTGAATAGCCCGCGCATGAACGGAATGGCATGGTTTTGATTGTCACCCTTGCCGTCCCCAAGGATAGGATAGCCCGGCAACTCCACACGATATTTTGCCTGGCGACCAATAAACCCAATGCCAAGACGCATGGCCGCAATTGACCCCGCCTTCTTCAGTCCTGTGGGCAAATCCTCACAAGCAGCGTCGATGAGGCTGCTGTAGTAGCGTCGCTTCTGCTTGGGATGCACTAGGTCAGACTCCGCTGTGATCCCCTTGTCTTCCTTTGCTGGATCATCATTCACACTCAAAAGCCAGCTGGAGGGGAAAAACGAGAGGCAGCGAAGGAGAGAGAGAGAGAGAGAGAGAGAAAGGTTGTGGGAGCCAGCAAGACCTGTTTTTTGCGGCTCCAAAAGCCATAGCCCGATCACATTCAATGCAGCGGTTCGCTTCTTGAGTAACTTGTGTCATGATCTCCTCTATGGGGCACCATCTTACTACAGTCGGAGGGCAGGCTGTTCTCAAGCAAAGCCGCGCAATCGATGAAGGCCACCTTGAGACAGTCCGGAAACTTTGCGAACATCCTGGCTGAGCAACTTGCACAGCAAAATTGATACAGTTGCCGCGACGGCTTCCACTTGGGAACGAAAGCCAAGCTCCTGTTGGTGTGCTCCAGCTGGGTCTTGTCAAAGAACTTGTACCTAACTAGTGTAAGCTAGCCGATTAGCCCTGAGTTGCCGGGCTTCCACACTTATGTCGAAGCTCTGTGTCCAAGGCACATCTGCATGGAAACCAGGCAGGTGAAACAATCGCTGGGGTTCCAAATTCCAGGCTTTGCCAGACTGCTCGTCCGGTCAGCTTGCACCTGTCAGAACCAACCGTCACAGCGAGACCCCATGTTCCTCACAGAGTCAAGCGCGTGAAGCACCTCCCAGTGGCACTGAAGTGCTGGATGGTAAAGGCACATGCCAGCAACCTTCCGTCAGCAAAGCAGCTACCAAGAGCTTCACGTTGCCAAGTCATGCAAAGCCCAATCGCTAAAGCTCATGCTAGCCCATTCATCAGTTACACCTGCGACTTGATCTGGCTTGCACCGTTCAAAAACCAATCCCCTGCACATGCAACTGCACTCGAGACCGCAACTGAAGCAGCATTTGTTCATTCCGTCTGGCAAGGTTAGCCAACCGAGGCACAGTCCGCCAGAGCGTCTGCATGCGCATGGATGCCCATGCACTGATCCTGCTCCACTGCTGGTCTGTGTACCTTGCGTACTGGCCCCAGAATGGTTCAGGGAAAATTGCAACTTCTGTGCGCTGCGCGTAGATGGCACCAACGTTTCACATTTCACCTTTGCCGGGCAGCTCCTCCCACTGGCTTCCAGCCACAGGCCAGCCGCTCTCGCCCCACTTCACCTGGAAAGGACTCCGATTACTCAGAAATCAGAACCTCAATGACATCCTCAATGACATCTGCTCTGATCTTTCTTTCTTTCTTTCGTTCAGGCTATGGGGAAAGGCTCCAGGGCCCTCCCCCGGGCACTGCCCAGCCCGTGTTGGGCTACTCAGTCTGTTTTGCACCCCTCGGCTCCAAAGGACGGTGGGCAAAGCATTACATTAACATGTTAGGAGCCCCTAACCAAAACAACAACAAGTGGTCCTTTGGGGAATGCATGGCTAGCCTCGGAAGAACCTGTCAAAAACATGCGTTGCCTGGAGGTTGCCAGGTCTGGTCCAAATTTGGATTGAATTAGGATTGGATTGAATTTGAGGCTTCTTGGTATGGTCTGTATGCAAAGATTTGTGCTCTGATCTCTCCCTCTCTCTCTCTTCTTCTTCTTCTCACTGCTCTAACCCCCCCGAGGGAAGGGGCTAGGGCAAAACCCCAAGCAGGATGTCCGTCACAGCTCGAAACCGAATCAGGCCCCGGCTACCGAGCATACACCGGCACACAAAGACGTACAAGCACAATGCAGCAGCCCCAATCCAGTAAATATTAGCCAGAAGGATTCCATGCGTGCCAGGATATGGTCCTCGCCGCTTCCGATCCAGTCGTGAGACCTCTCTCATGCTCCCTGCACTGTGGCACTGGACTATACAGCACGAGAGGTTCACGGAAAAGCCTGCTCGACCGCATCCCATCTCAGCCAATCAGTCCATAAAGATTTTAGGACCCCAGATGCCAGCAACAATGTACCGCATCCTGAGCATTAGCTGGACCTGGCTTAGCCAATGGC